CTTAGGGAAGCTGGGATACAGTTTATGAGATAGCAGAAGGGTTTCTCTGCTGTCTCAAGCAGACGTTTAGGCTAGTCAGATAAGAAGCATTCATGGAACATGTTTTCCCCTGATGGATTTCATGTATACTCGAAGCAGGAGGCTTTTTCAGCCCTCCTCTTAAGAAGTAGGTTAGTTGTCTCTCTCAGAATCACTTTTATTGCCGCCAGTTTTCTTTTTCCAGGACACGACTGGCCAGGCTGTTGTTCCCCACTACGCAGGACTAGAGTGGTTGAGCATGTCTTCTTGGTCTAGCAAGGGGTGGCCCGTTGGTCCTCTACTGTGCTTGTTGTCTCCATCTGACACTCAGTTGCCACCATCTTGGGAGATTCGTGTGTGAAATAATGCTCCCATTGCTTTGCTCTTGTTCCCATGGACTAGGAAGAGAGCATGGTTTCCAGAGACTCTGGGACTTTCTGGACCTGGTGCTGCCTCCTGACTTGGCAGTGGTCAGAGCAGACCTGAGCCCTCTCCTGGGGTGGTGATGATCAGAAACCAGACTCTTCTATACTTTTCTGAGTATCAGAGTGGGATGAACACCCAAGTTCAAATACATGTCACCAAACTTTGTGGCGCCCCCCTCCCCATTGCTTTAAGCTATCATGTAATAATAATCTATTATGTTTGCTTGAAGAAACAATTCAAAGCACCTTCACGAGTTGCCTTGACTTACCTAGGTGAAGAGGGTGTGAGAGAGAGCCCTCGTGACAAGTAAAATTTTCTCTCTCCCTTAATGTGTTTTTCCTGCCCGTTTCCCCTTTATTCAGCTCCCAAAGGTACTATGGCAGTTTAGCCTCAGGTACTGGATATTTCTCAGCCCTGGCTAACAGGGAGCAGCTTAAGGTGAGAAACTTTCTGGACTAGGAAAGCCTGATGGCCAGCATCAGTTGTGGCCTAGGGCCTGGGATTCCTTCATAAGACTCGTTGCTCAGGGTGGTGCAGGGACAGGACCAAACCCTGCGCCCACTTCCTGCCCTCTCCTGCCTGCCGTATAGGGCCCCGATCCCAGTTGAGCCACTCTCCTCTAACGATGTCATATAGTGTGCCTTTCTCCTCAGCAGTGAGCATTGAGCTGTTCCTGACCCAGGCCCCAGGGGAAATGGGTCAGTTTTTTAGTTTTTATTTGGGTAGGGGAGTTCTTAGGACAAGTCAGGACAAACGTCCTTTGTTCCGTTCCCCTTCTCAGGGACTCCTGAATATTCAGCCTCTCCAGATGGTATCCTCTAGCCTCCCTCACTAGGCTGCTGGCCGGGAGCCAAGCTACCAGACTTCTCCTCCAGCTCCCGGCCTGTTTGTCTGAAGTGTTCGTTAGCACGGTACTTCTTACACAGTATCTGTGACTAGCTGGCCATCTCATTGCAGGGCTCATGTGGTAGGTGTGTGTGTGTTTTGTCCTCTGTTTGTTCTGTAGTGCATTGTGGGTTCCAAGAGTGGTTGGTGTTGGTGTGTGTCAGAGGGAGAGGCTGGGATCCTTTGGACATGGCAGTTACACGTGTCTTCCCAGTCGCTTAAGTGGTGGGCACCCCCTTTTGCGCAAACATCTGTACTCGGAGCTGTGCACGAATTGTCTCTCGGGTCTCCGGTGCTTTGTCTCAGGGGCTTCAGCGACCCAGAACCACCCAGCAGGCAACACTGTCCTTTGCGAGCTGCTGAAATGGAGAAGCATGTGTGCCGCAGAATGTGCTAATGCTTCCAGTGTCTGTCTCCTCGGGACCAGACCCTGAGCCACTCACATCCTCTGTGCCGGAGCCTGGGTGCTGGCGGGGGTGGGGGGTGTTTTCAAAGGGACCTACTGCAGTTAATTTATCATCAAGAGCCTGAGTTTGACTTACCATTTTTTTAGGTTTTTCATTTGTATCTGTGCATTTGTGTGTGTGCACATAGTAATACCTGGTCTGCGGCAGAGGTGGGGGTGGAGTATCTTACTATATTGCTAGATGTTGCAACATTGGTCTCTGCAAAAACTGTACTGTTTTGTCCTGCATAGAAGTAGTTGTGTGACTATATTGCCATGCCACTTTTAATATTATCAGTTTTATACTTGGAAAATGGTACTTTTCTCTATTAATTCTTTTCTCTCTCTTTTCTTCTCTAACCTCCCCCTTCCCAGCTCAGTGCTCCCTTCCCAGTTGCAGCAATAATGTCTTAAAAAGCTATTGAATAATTAAATGCCCCAAATCTCAATCACTGTGGATGGTTGCATTCATTTGTTTACTTGGGGACACACGGGAGGTCACAAGTAGGGCAGTGGCAGCACTTGAATTGGCTGCTGGTGAGAGATCGCCCCCTTGTGGTGAGATGGTTGTGTGTGACCATTGATATTAGGGCTACTAGACAGACCCAGGGGCCCTGGTGGCGCAGTGGTTAAGAGCTCGGCAGCTAACCAAAAGGTCAGCAGTTCAAATCCACCAGCTGCTACTTGGAAACCCTATGGGGCAGTTCTACTCTGTCCTGTAGGGTAGCTATGAGTCGGAATTGACTCGAAAGCAGTGGGTTTTTTTTTTTAGATAGACACAGCCGAGCCACATTCCAGCTAATTTCCAAGCACTTTAATAGGTAGCTGATTGGTCTCTACACCAGGAACTGTGGTCATACCAAGTTTTATACCTGTTTGGAACTCAGGTCTTTAGTTCCTCAGGGCCAGGGCCCTGCTTTGCGTTTTGTTACCTTCATTGTCCTTTTCTGTCTGCTTACACCTCCATGATGGAAGGAGCCTCTAGGGTGGTCTCCAGCCAGCTGGGCAGGTTGGCTGTAATTAACCATTCATGACCCATGGAATATATGCTTGCCCACCCACTTCTCCTGCCTCTCAGGTTTTTTGGGACCCTACTTTTCTTGCTAAAAGTATTTGCTGCCCTCCAGTGGGAACTTGTGTAGTGGTGAAAGGTGAAAGAAAAGCTCACTGAAGCGAAATAGCTGGGGTATGGGGCTTAAAAGTGAGGTAGTGCATACAGGAAGTGTGACTGGGAAAAATTTTCTCTTTTGGCTTTTGTACCCCTAGATGAGCCTTGTAAACATATTTATGGTTTCCTGTGTGATAGTTAGGGAGCCCCGGTGGGTTTATGTGTGTCATATATGGAAAACTAGATGTTTCCCATGTAATCTAATGGAAGGCACCCCACAATACATCCAATAACCAAGGTCCAGTGGGAAAGATGGGTGCCCACCAATCATGGCACTTAAGAGCCCCAAAAGTTCTGTGGTAGCCTTGTGTTCCCACATAATATTTCTTAAAACCCATTATTACCAACCAAAAATTTAAATACTCTGCATGACTCAGCATGCTTCCATTAATAAAAACACGATATCCAAAAAAAAAAAAAAAAAATTCAAAGCAGAAAATAATAGGTCCTTGAAGATTAGAGGATAGTAAACCCATTGCTGTCAAGTCGATTCAAATTCATAGTGACCCTACAGGACAGAGTAGAACAGCCCCATAGTGTTTCTAAGGAGCGGCTGGTGGATTCGAACTGGCAGCCTTTTGGTTATCAGCCGAGTAGGCCACTGCATTTGGCTTGGAGCTGACAGAACCCCTTATGTTACCCTGGCACATGTAAGTGCTGGGCATCGCGGTCCATTATGAATGAGAAATGAGAAGTGTTTTCAGAGGTTACTCAGAATACAAAGGCAGCCATTCAGGTAACGTAGCTTTTCATTCTGGCTTTCAGCTCAATTCAGACTTTTGCCAGAACCCAGCCAAGCAGTTATGTCCTTGCTCTGGTTTTCTCCCAAATGGCTTGGTTTCCTGAGCACCTCCTTGCTTTTGTGGTAAACACTAGGGAAAGAGGGGCCAGGGTGTGCTTGGATTTGGAGGCCTGGCTCATTTAAGAAGTGGTGTCTGGGATGCTTATAGCTGCTCCTGACAGCTAAAAGTTCCTCTACCTTCTTTGTGGGCTCTTGGGAGCAACGAGCAGCTTTTCCCCAGACCCAGCGGTGACAGAATAATTACTAAGGCCTAACTGTGATAGCCACCAACTATATATAGCCTGAGTAACCAAAAGTCAGGTTTTTGAAGCATTTTCTTGGAGTCTTAATTGCCTTACTTTCTCTTATGTTTTCTTCTTTCTCATAATCTGTCCTGAATATCCTCCCTGTAATTTCAGTTATGTGGGTTAATTTTAGAATAAACATATTTATTTCTAGAAAGTGTTGCTTGTGTTTTTGTACCACATAAAGGTAGCACATACAACAGTGCATGTTTCAACCCATAGTAAGCAGAGGTAGCAAGGTGAGGCCATACCGCCCCGTGTGGTCAGTGCCCCTGTCCCCTAGTCCTTGGCCATTGGATCAAAGCACACTTAGAAAAAAATTCAGTCAGAAGTGGAGCAGATGGAAGACCAGTGTCTGATTCTCGTTGGTTTTAATATAAGTTTTGCAGAGAAACTGCTATCAACATTAAAAAAAATAAAAGCTCAGTTGCCATACTCATGGTGACCTCATGTGTATATTGATAATCCTTACTGACCAGACTGTAGGCTAGGAAGGGGCTCCTGCTATTCTGTCTTGTTGACATGTTTATTTCTCACCCACCAACCTCTGCCTCTTTTCTGGTCCTTGTTGGGGGACCAACCCACCCAGGGTGAGTTATGACATTGTTAGATGCCTGCTCCAGCTGATCTTGGCATGTGCAGGTCAGCTTAGTACCCAGGCAGTGCTTCAGGCGAGAATGCTGGGGGAAGGCTTCTCAATCTTTTTTGCATCATGAAATGATATTTGCATGGTGCACACCCTGGGATAGAGACAAAAGTGCCCCCAGCTTCCACCCAGCCGTGCCAAAGGCTAAGGGGATCAATATCTCAGCGCCCTTTATCCTAGTCATGGCACATCAATGGGACTTTTCTAGAGTGTTACCAAGGAGCCCTGGGTGATGCAAATGGTTAAGCGCTTGGCTGCTAAGTGAAGGCTGGCAGTTTGAACCCACCCAGAGGCTCCACAGGAGAAATGCATGGTGATCTGCTCCCGTAAATATTACAGCGAAGAAGACCCTACGGGGCAGTTCTACTCGTCACGTGGAGTTGCTATGAGTAGAAATCGACTCAGTGGTACCTGACGACAACAACAGTGTTGCTGGGCGGGGAAACAGACCTGTGCATACTGGCTCCTTACTGTTCTGATGGCAGTTAGCCCGTCAGCACCTAAGCTGTGCCTGTGCCTTCGCTCTCTTGCAGCATAAAAGCAGCCAAGCCTTGCAACCTTTTCTAAGTGGAAACTACAGAAACCATCAGGATTAGGAATCTCCCCAGCTGATGTTATAGCACAAGAAGGTAATATGGCCCAGTTGCCTTTCTAGTTGTAGGTCTCACCATACATATCGTACACATGCCTTTATCCTGTTCATGATGCTCCCCCAGCCATCTCTCTCTCAAGAATCCTACTCACATCTTTAAGGCATAACTCAAATGAAAGTCTCCTGATTCACCCTTGTCAACATTAATTACTACTTTGTGTTTCCATAGTTCATTTCTTATCCTGCCATCTAGCATTAACTTAATTCACCTGACCTAGTTAATAGCCATTTTCCTGCTTGATTCCTCCAGATGATAATGAACTCGTTGAAAGGCAGGGTGGTCTAGTCCACCCTTTTTCCCCAGTACCTTGAACAGTGCCTCGCACAGATTAAGAGCTTTAAATGCTTGTTCCATTGACTCCAATTGGATTGACCTATAGGAAAGAAGGTTCTAGAGCCCGAGACCAAGTAAGTGACACAAGTTTTATTTGAGACATAAAAGCACGTGTTTCCATCACGTAGGATGGGGTTTACTTTAGGGTCCTGGTTTCTAAGATAACATTTCATGTCCCCGTCTATCACAGCCTTTTGGCAAATGAATCAGAAAGGGTACAGCTGGGAAAGAAAATCATGACTTGATGGGAAGTTTCAAAGAAAGGGAAGAGCTTATTCAAATTAGCGTACATGTAACAGAACGCCAAGGATGAAGAGAGTGGCGTGGGGGAAAGGTCAGTGAAGGGCTCCTCTCCTTTCCACAGCAAGGACTCGCCCTGAAATAGGCAGCAGGGCGGGCTTGGCAGTGGTGACTCAGCAAGGTCTCGGGACTAAGGACTCCCCAGCTCCCTCCCTGGATTCTCAGTTCAGCCACCCCTCCTCCCTGAGAAATTAAAAGAGGAAGGACAGGGCCTCCTAAGTCATGGACACTGCTACTTGTTCGATGAAGCTGGCCAGGTTTATGTCCCGCTCTGAAAGGCCTGCACACTCATGGGTGCTCAGGGTGATGTGGACCTGAAACAAAACGAGAAATTCAGGGCCAGGTGACTACTGACATAACTCACTCGAGCAGGAGAATGTCACCAGCTGTCAGGCTCAGTCATGCTAGGAGCTCCAGAAGAGTAGCTGGTCACTGCTCTCCCATGGGCTGCCTTCCAAACAACTGTCTGACAACAGTGTAAAACTGTCTTCTATGCCATCTCTCCCTGAATGTTTTTCAAAAGCAATGTAAAAGCTAAAAATAAGAGCAAAAACCAACTCCAACTCCTAAACACTATCAATGTACAGATAGCCTTTTCCAAGCCTTAATGCTGGTATGAAGAGTCCAGCATACTCTTGGCACATGGTAAGCACTTAATGATGGTTTCATTAAGTGGTCAGTCTGAACTGTTTGCCGTGCATGGGTATTCTTAGTTCAAGTTTATTACTTTTCCATTCTTCCATACCTCCAGAAAGACTTAAGCTATTTATGGCGATTAACAATGAGTAAGCGTGCCTGTCTCCCACAGCCTTGCCTTCCGGATGCTAACCAAAAGGCTGGCAGTTCGAATCCACCAGCTGCTCCTTGGAAACCCTATGGAGCAGTTCTACTCTGTCCTATAGGGTCACTATGAGTCGGAATCGACTCAACAGCAACGGGTTTGGTTTTGGTCTAATGTCTGCGTTAGCCATAAATATCTCACAAGTGTTTTAATTAGCATTTCTTTCATTTGCATTGAGACTGAATATTTTCCAAGTGTGTCTATGCTGCAATCTTGAGATCAGGAAGAGATGGATGGGGCAGGATAAGTGGACAGTCAACTTAGGAGTGCGGAGTTGGAGCTCTCAGAGCTTGGATGTCACCCACCTTGTTGTACACATTAAACCATTCAGGATGATGGTCCAGTTTCTCAGCCTGCAGGGCCACCCTTGTCATGAACCCAAAAGCCTATCGAGTGAAGAGAGACCTGGGTTAGCATTCTGAGAGAGAGGAGCAGTTTAAAGCCTTGGTGCAGGACAGACTAGCCTACTGCAGGGAGACCCCTTGAGCTGTCATCACCTCCCCCTGGCATTCCGTCACTGTTCTGAGGCTTGAGTTTAAGGTTGTCTTTCTGCAGTAGGAAGAGCATCTTGTTACTAGGATCACTAATAAGGTTAGAGACAGAAGAGGTTGATTCTTGGTGAATCTCTGGCCATCTACTGACATGTCCTCAGATCTACATCCCTGCTTCCAGGCAGGGCCCTAGAATCTCTGAAGCTCTTTCCTAAGAGTTCCACATAGGGAAAGCCCAAGACCCATCTCCCCACTCCCCAAGCCCCAAGGATGACACTTTCCGAGTAAGTTAGGGAAGTTTATTTCCCAACTGACACAGGGTCCAAATAAACTGGGTTAGAGTCGTATCTGACACTCAAGCTACCAAGACTTGAAGAAGTAAACAAGTTATGGAGCGTAACCCCATTAGCCCTAGTCTCAAAATTCTGTCCCACCCCAGCCCCATACCCTATTGAAGTCTTTGAAATGGAACTGCTTGAAGATGGCATCGCGGCCTTCCAGCTCATTCCACCCCACAGCCCTCAGGTTTGGCAGCAGTTGGTCCCTCTCCTCAGCGCTTAGCCTGTGTGCTTTGCCAGCCTGGGAGAGGAAAAAACAGGCCCGAGGGCATTTATTTTTACAGGTCAAACAAGAAGACCCAGACCATTTGGGTAATGTTGTCTCCACTGGCTGCTCTGGACTCTGGGTGACATGGTCAAAGGGCAGCTAGTCTTTAAGCAACAGATTGGAAGGTCTGGGGGGTGGGCCCTGTCCAGGAGGTGGGGCCCTTGCTCATTCACTGATAGGTTCTTAGGTTTGGGGTTTCACACTCTGCCCAGAGAAGGAACATCCATGAGTGTAATGCAAAACAATGGGAAGCCATTTCACTGAGAAACACTCCTCCCAACCCCCCAGAAGTCTTACGGAGGGCCCCTTCCCCCTCCCAAACTAAGGTTATATTAAAACATCAAACCCAGATGCAAGTGCATTTATTACAACACAATCTTTTAGGAAAAGAGCACCCCCGGCTCCCTAGCCTTCCCTTTCTATTATCTGCCTTTCCTTGTCCACCCCAAGCCCGGCCATTACTCATTTTCAGGTGTACTGAAGAGGAAACTAAGGCCTAGGGAGGGGAAATGGCTTGTCCCCCTCCCCAGTTCCCTCCAACCCCTATCCTAGTCAGGGACGGCGCAGGCAGTGTTCTCAGGGTGGTCTGTGGACCACTTGTAGCAGAAATATGCAGATTCCTAGGTCCTGTCGCAGACCTACTGAATCGGCATTCCTGGGGGCCTGGTGAAGGAACCAGCATTTCAAACAAGTTTCCCAGGTGATCCTTGGCACACTGCAGTTGACAACCACTGGCGCTACCTCTAGTAGGTACTCTGTCACTCCCACCACGCAGCCTCTAGTCCCAAGCTGCTGGGCCCTGGTTTCTCAGATTTTCCATCATCTTTTCTATTCTGGCAGCTCCTGAAGCCTGGGCCACAGAGCTCAAACCCAAAATGGAAGTCTCTTGGCCAAAGGCCAAGATGAGCCCCACCCCACACGGCCTGACTCCTCAGTGCCCAGTTCACAGGACTGTGAGGTGTCCAAGGAGGCACTGTTGAATTCTGTTGTGAGGAGGCCAAAGGAGAACCAGGACCAGCTTCCTAGAGGAAGGAGTTCTTAAGCTCAGCCAAGAAGAGAAGTTGACCTCTACACTGACAGGATGGTGAGCCATGCTGCTCAAAGGGGGAAGAGCCTGCGGCGTGGGACACAGCCTGGAGCATCTGGCTGCTGACTGCTGGCCTGGGTTGGGTCCTGGAGTGTGGGGTATGGCAGAGGTGAGTGGGTAAAGGGATGCCAAGAGATGACCTAGGGCTATGGGTACCATCACAGAGGGCCCTGGAACCCCATGTCCTGTCCTATGTACCTACTGTGCAAAGTGTCCTCAGGCAGCCCAAACTGGCACCATTCAGGCCAGGAGTTGATCCCTCAGAGAATAAAGGAAGCAAAGGTCAGTTCTACTGTCTAGGTGTAGGAGCTTAAGGGATCCCAGAATTAAGAATCCAGAGACAGAATCACCCAAGGACAGAAACTGATAAAGTGCTGAACTGAAAGAATCCACTAAGTCTGGGGAGAGAATGTGAGGGGTGTTAGGTGGGTCTGTAACCCGCAGCCTGGCAGCCCTGGGTTGAAATGGCAGTACTGGTTCAAGCCCCAGTTCTGCCACTTGTCTGCCATGTGGCACTTCATGAGTCCAAGAGAGCTTGGACTCATGCAGAAAATAGGGACACAAACTTTTACTTCACAGATCAGCATGAGAAGTCAACAGGACACTTTGATACACTGCACTGTTAACTGCATTTACTAAAGACTTCCTTGGGTTAAGTGAGCTGGCGATGGGCCTGGCAAAGTTTGAGCAGACCTGGAGGGGCACTGCCATGCTGATAAGTCAATCTTTTCCTCTCTCCTGAAAACTGGTGTTCCCCCTAGACCGATCTGGTCTGGCCCCCTCCTCGTCTTCAATGGTTAAGGAGATGACAGTGTGTACCCGGCATCATCCCGCCCAACGCCATCTCTTCCGGAGTTTGCCCTTCTCAGTGAGAATAGGCCTGGCCCATGTATCCAGGCAACCAGATGGCCGGAAAGCAGCCCAGACATCCGAATCCACAGTTCACTCCTTTGGTTCTGAGAGGGGCGGGTGGGTATGGGTGAGCTCCTGGGAGGACCCCCTTTCTCTTTAGAGTCTTCTGGAAGCCCCCAACGCCCATAGCCTGGGAGATCAGGCAGGGGGAAGGGGCCATGTTTGTTTAGTAAATCCCGGTCAGGCATGACCTCTGCCTCCTGCCTCAGGGGGCCTGTGCGGAGGGTTACTGATCACCACCCCCACCACCAAGCGGTAGTCACCGCAGTCCTGACTGCCTCAGGTGTTCGGGCTAAAATGGGCTGTGTTTAGTAAAGCTTCCTCGCTGCTCCCACAGGGTCACGGTCACCTCCCCGGCTGAGGGTGGGGGTGTTGACACTGAGCCAATGGCCCAGACCCTCTAGGCCGGCAGCTCCGTAGTCCTGGGCCATCGTGCTCCCACTGCTGGGCACAGACCTGGAACTATGCGCCACGGGCAGGTTCTCGGGTGCCCAGAGGGCTTAGTCCCAGACAAAGCTGTACTCAGGTGAGGTCAAAAGTGCAAGCGAGAAGGGGCAGTACACACACACACAGGCACACAGTCTCCCCCAAATACAAAACAGAACCGTGCCACTAACGGAGACGACATCTGCTGGCTCACTAGGACGCCTCTCCCAACCCGTTCCCTGCCCCCAGTGCCCCGCCCCCAGCACGGCGGCGCGGAGGGAGCACTGGCCTGGGAGTCAGGGCCAGGCCTGAGCTGCGGCTCGCGGTTACCCGGCCCTGCACGGCCCCTCTGGGAGCCTCAGCTTCCTCTGGTGCACCACCGGGAACCGGGTGAACTCCAGGCTGCCGCTACGAGACCCGGAAATGCTGACCCTCCCAGGGCGGAGGGCGGCGGGTCTGCAGGCGCTCTCGAGGCCCCCTCCACTCTCGTCCTCGGCCGGCCTGGGCCGGGAGCCGCTGGCTCCCTCCTCTCCTCCGAGCCCCGGCGGCCGGCCTCCCGCTCCCCGCCCTCCCCTCCCTCACCATGTCCGAGCGCGGCGGGACGCGGGCGAGCAGGAGGTGGCCAGCCAAGAAGCGAGCGCCGCGGCCAGGCGCACCGGGCGAGCGGCCGGGTGCAACCCCCGGGGCCGCCTCCAGGCCCGCCCCCGGCAGGGGTGGAGCCCGCGACCCGCTTTTCCGCCCGCGCGGGACCCGCCGACTCGGGTAATGATTAACGCTGAGGGTGGCGCACACACCAGGGCTCAGCTCCCCTCCAGCACTTTCTTTTCCTCTCAGCGCTATACTCGGTGCGATTGTTCCATGGAGGTTAGCAGGTCAGTACGCAGGCACCAAATGCAGACTTCTGGGTCTGAAGTATGCTCTGCCACTTAGCAGCTGCGTCATCCTAGACACAGGATGACCTCACCTTTTCTTTTTTAAAAGCACTTTGAGGTATAATTGACCTACAGTAAACTGCACATGTTTAAAGTGTACAATTTGATAAGTTTTGACACATGTATGCCCCGCTCAAACCATCAGCACAAATTATGAACATATCCATCGCCCCAAAAGTTCCCACTGCCTCTTTGTAGTCCCTTCCTTCCCGCACCTGCATCCACTGATCTACTTTCTGTCACTGTAGATTAGTTTGTATTTTCTATAATCTTACGTAAATGGAATCATAGTATATAATCTCTCTTTTGGTCTGGCTTCTTTCACTTAGCATAATTGTTTTGAGGTTCATCCATGTTGTTGCATGTATCAGCACTCTGTTACTGTCAAGTAGACCCATGGAAACCCCATGTGCTCCATAGGGTTTTCACTGGCTGTAATCTTCGCGAAGTAGATAGCTAGGCCTGTCTTCCTGGGCGCTGCTGGGTGAATTCCCACAGTTGGTAGCCAAGTGCAAGCCATTTGCACCACTCAGGGAGCCAGCATGTATCAATAGTTACTTTTTGTTGTAAATAATTCTTTTAAAGCATTTTATAGTGTTACATGGTATGAGTATGCCACAATTTGTTTATATTCATCTGTTGATGGACATTTGGATTGTTTCCAGTTTGGGGCTATTACAAGTAAAGCTGCTATGCCAATTTGTGTCCAAGTCTTTGTATGAATATATGCTTTCATTTCTCTTGGCTAAATATCTGGGAGTGGAATTATGGCTCCGTCTTAAGGTAGATGTATGTTTATAACTTTTTAGGAAACTGCCGAACTGTTTTCCAAAGTGGTTCTGTTATTTTATATTCTCAGCAGCAGCCAAGGAGAGTTCCAGTTCCTCCACTTCCTCACCAACCCTTGGTATGGTCGGTCCCTTTAATTTTAGCCACGCTGGTGGTGCAGTGGTTAAGTGTTCGGCTGTTAATCAAAAGCTCAGCAGTTCGAATCCACCAGCCGCTCCCTGGAAACCCTGTGGGGCAGTTCTGCTCTGTCCTATAGGGTCACTATGAGTAGGAATGGGTTTGGTGTTTTTTTAAATTAGTGTATAGTGGTTTAAATTTGAGTTTTCTTAATGATTAATGATGTTGAACATCTTTTCATGTGCTTATTTGCCATTGGTAAATCTTTGGTGAATTGCCTGTTCAAATTTCCTGCCCATTAAAAAAGCAAAACTGGATTGTTTGTTTTCTTGTTGAGTTTTGAGAGTGCTTTATTCTGGATACAAGAACTTTATCGGATATATGGTTTGCAAATATTTTGTCTGCATTCTCTTATAGTGTCTTTCATAGAGCAAAAGTTCTTAATTTTGACTGACAAATTCAATTGGTCAAATGTTTATTTTATGGATTGCTGTTTTAGTGTTGTTGCTAAAAATCTTCGCCTAACCCAAGGTCATGTTTCTCTTATGTTTTCTTTTAGAAGTTTTATAGTTTTCAGTTTTACATTTAGGTGTATGATCCATTTTGAGTTAGTTTTTTTATATGCTGGTAGTTAAGGACCCAAATTCACTTTTTGCATATGAATATCCAGTTGCTCTTCCTCCACTGAATTAATTGCCTTTGTACTTTTGTAAAAAATCAATTGACCTTTTACGTGTGAGTTTATTTCTAGGCCCTGTATTCTATTTCATTGATCTATTTGTCTGTCTTGACGTCAGTATGACACTGTCTTGATTACTGTAGCTTTATAATGTCTTGAAGTCGGGTAGTATAAATCCTCTAATATTTAACATTTTTTTCTAACTTTTTATCCCTGTACTCCACTTTTATTTCTCTGCCGAATAGCAGCCTTTCTAATGTGTTAATGTGTATTTTTGTTCTACATATTCTTGCAAAATGTGTATTGTTGTTCCATCTATATGTATTTTCAATTTATGTAAATGGTATTACATTACATATATAATTCTGTTCGTTACGAAACAGAATACTTAATGGAAAATTAAGATTCCGTTATGCTGCTACATGTATGCTTAATCTGTGGCTTCTAACTGCTGCTTAGTATTCCCTAGTGAGAATCTACCATGGTGTATTATTCTACCAGTGATAGGCATTCAGCTTGCCTCCAACGCGCTTCCACTATCACCACCACTACTCAAGCCCTTGGACAGATGCACAAACACATACAAAGCAAAACAGCAAAGAATGATGCTGCAGTGAACATCCTCCTTCAGTATCTTCCTGGCCTGTGGGAGTGTTTCTTAGCCAACTTAGATATATGCATGCTGTATAAATTCAGCAGTTCCTTTATGGGTACATATATCCCAAAATAGTTTCATATGCCATCCAGATGGCGATACCAGTCCTCCTTCTCACCTGCAGCGTGAGAGGCTTCCTATTTCCCTACATTCCTCATGCAAACACGCTCACACTTGGCATTATCTAGCGTTTTAATTTTTCCAGGCTAATAAGTATAAAATGATAGCTTACTGTTTTACTTTGCACCTTTCTGATAACTGGTGATTTTGAGCACCTCTTCCTAAGCTTGTTAGAATTGGGGGTTACTGTTTGTAAATTGCTTTTTAATATCTTTGCCCATGTTTAAAAAAATATAGAATGCTGTCTGTTTTCAGTTGATATTTGGGAATTTATAGTTAGACGTTAATTGCCTGTCAATTTTAGATATTGCAAATATCTCGTCAATCCTGCCATCCATATGCTAACTTCTCTGTGATTTCCTTCGTTGGCAGAAATATTGTATTGTAATATAGTATAATCTGTCTTTTATTTCCTCTGCCCTATGATTTTGTGCTTTAGAAACTTTATTTGATAAGTCCTTTCCCACCCCGTCACAAAAATATTCTACCTTTTTTTCTCTTCTTCTCTGAACGTTAGAGTTAGATAAATTTAAGACCTGTTGGTATTGGTTGCCGTTGAGTCAATTCCGACTCCTGGCAATCCATGCATTACAGAGTAGAATGGCCCCATAGGGTTTTCTTGACTTTAATCTTAATGGAAGCAGATTGTCAGGATTTTTCTTCCATGGTATCGCTGGGTGGGTTCGAACCACCAATCTTTAGGTTAGCAGTTGAGTGCAAACCGTTTGCACCACCTAGGGACCTAATTTAAGACCCCGGTGCGAAGATTCCCTTTTGTATATAACATAAGGTAGTGTGTTAGCTCATCTTCAAAGATGGCTCTCCAGTGAGCATTGACTCCCAGTATTCACGCCCTGAGTGGTTCTCTGCCATACTGGATCTGGGCTGCCCTGTATAACCACTTAAATGTGGTAGTAGTGTCACTGTGTGATTTCTGTGGTTAGTCAAAAGAAACCTTACAGCTTCTGCTTTGTCCCTTGGAGCTCTCGCTTTTGAGATGCTCGCTCTCAGAACCCACCTGTAACCTAACTTCAGAAGCCATCTAACTTCAAGAGGAGAGATGAGACTTAAGATCAGCACAAAGCTGATTCCTGTGAGGTGGAGGTCAGACATCCCTCCACTCTCAACTTCTTCACCATTTCTGACACCAGCCGTCCCCGCCCCCGCACCGCACTCTTTACTTCTGTGCTAGGTTCAATAACTAGTTACAGTGGCCACACAGAACTCACAGATCATACTCATGATTATGTGGTTTGTTAGGGAAATAACAGGCTGCAAGTTGGGACCAGGATCAAGCTGGAAGTAACAGGATACAACCCAGGAGACAGAATATAGTTCTTCAGTCAGGGCAGATTCCAGCCAAGACAGCTCTCGGCTTCTTCTCGGCTGTGCCCATAGGCAGGCCCTTGTCTTGGCCTCTGCCCTGCTCGGGCAAGTGTTACAGCCCTTTAGCTCTGCCAACAAGTGCCTGGAGGCACCCTACTCCACCAGCAAGCCTTCTGCCCAAAGGCACACAGCTCTCGCCCGCTCTGTGAGTCATCAAGCCCACTGCAGCTGCCTCATGCCAATCTCCTGGTTCCTGCTGTTTGTACTGCTGCTGCTGTTTCTCTCCTGCTGGGCTCTGCTGTGCTTGTTGCCATTTCTCATCATCTTACACCATCTTCAGTGTTATGGTGCTCTCTCTCCTGTGTCTAGGAGGTTCTTACTGCAGGGACCCCGGGTCCAAAGGATATGCTCCACTCAGGCTCTTCTTGATGGTATAGAGATCCCTTTCAACCTCTGTGGGATTGGCTCTTACATTCAATTTCAAGGCATGACCCTCCCAGCCAGACCACAAACTGACCAGTCCTCTCAGTAGACCACAGTCACTCAATTTGCATAGTAGACTGAACAATCCCTTTGCAAGATTTTGACCTAGCCAATCATTTTGGCAGAATTATAAACCTAAGGCCAGGAAGGCCACGTATAAGAGAAATACATTGTACTGCACCATCCATCATGTGGTGAGATGCCCAAGTCACATGGAGAGGCTACAAGTACTGCTGTGGCCCACAGCCTCTGCGGACCTCGTAGCTCACAGCCAGAATCATCTGCTGGCCACGTGAGCAAGCCCCATCTTGATCATCCAGGCCAGTCAAACCTTCAGATGACCTCTGCCCTTGCAGACTGTAATCACACTCAAGATCCCAAGCAAGAACAGCCTAGCAGAGACCAGTCAACCCATGGAACCATGAAAAATCAATACATTTTTTGTTTGAAGCCACCAAGTTTGGGGGTATTTGTTTTGCAGCAGTAGGTAACAAGAAGAAAAATTGGTACCTGGAAGTGGAATGTTGCCTAAAACATGTAGCACTAGCTTGGGTATGGGTGGTGGGTA